TCCACCCGATATATCTGCCCCCCGCGCCGAGTCTACCCCGATCTCCACTCACTCAGAACATCCCGCCACGCGTTCAAGTCCATGATCCTTCCCCACGCTGACCCTTCCGCCGCCGCCCGTTCCAAGTATTCCCAAAGGGGAGCCCGATCGCGGGGCTTCTGGTAAAGCACCAGTAGAAACCAAAAATTGAGTAAGATGAGGAATAGGAAGAAAAAGGCGTTGTCGAGGAAGCTCATTTTTGGTATTTTTATCGTTGCGTCGGTTTCGCTCTGTGTGTTTTGTGTGGTTCGTGGTGTTTACAATTTACGGAGGTGTGGGAAATTTTTGTACTATTATACGAGTTTTTGTTTTCTTTTTTAAAATTTAAGATGGTAAATTAAGGTATCATATGTGGCTAGGTTGGGGGTTGGGAGAAGGTAAGGATTGGGGGCCTATGATACCTGTTTTACATAGAAGCTTTTCAAGGGCTCAACCGGAAAGTGTTACTGTATCATGTTCGTCCCTGGCAAGTACCGGGATGATAATTATTATGATACCCGAACGCAGGGGGTAAACGCCAGGTTGGGGTAGGGTGAGACGGAGGGGTAATTGGCTGTTGACGCAGCAGGAAGAGCTATCTGGGAGACGAAAAAGGTGTAACTGTGGAGCAGGACACTAGAAGCTAGCTGCCTACCTTACTGTATCACAATACGACCGCACAACACCATGTGTCGAAGGAAAAAGTAATGTATTAATCCCCAAATAGACCCAAAACTATCGGAAACTGCCACTACACCCATCCACCAAAACAAACCCCTCAAACTCCGCAAGTAGAAAAAGAAGAAAACCTCAATCTACTAAATCCAAGCGAAAAAAATGATCTACACTGACCAACGCGGTAAACCTCCTCAACTCCCTAGACACACCCCACACATCATACCTCGCCTACATCTCACTACCGAAAGTCACCTTGCTGTGCAGGCCCCCGACACAGGCGATGGTGCTCTCAAGGCCTTGGCAGGGGTCGGTGCTGCAGGTGTTTGTAGCGGGGGTCTCGTGAGGCAGAAGGTTGTCATTAGGGTTTGTTGGCGATATGGTGGCGTTTGGTTGTGGGGTTTGTGCAAGTGTTGTGGGAGCGGAGGGGAGATGAAGAGTGCGGGGAATGGGGATAGGATCTCGCTAGGAGAGAGGAGGATATAAGAAAACTGCCGGGTTAAAGTTCGGGTGGCAGACCAGGTATGGTATTATCAGTTTGTTAGTTCCATAAGTTACCATCCGCCACAAACCCCCTACACAGCTCGACACAATCTCTCTATCATACCATTCCCACAGCACCATACCACACAACCTCTATAACCAAATCCCACAATTACCCCAACCGATCCGCCCCCTCCGCCACGTCCCATCCTTCCGTGCCCCCCGCCTTCTTCCCAACCCTCTCGTCCTTGACCATCCGGGCATCCCTCCGAACATCCTCACCCTCAAACTCTACAAGTGCCCTCGGTACCTTCGCCTCGATGACGAAATGGTTATCGCAGTGCGGGCAGTACTCGTCGCTCTCGTCCCATTCCTGCGTGTCCTTGCGGAAGCACTTCTTGCACTTCTTGCACGCGAACACCACCTCGAAGCGCTGCAGTAGGGGGTGCGTTTCCGACTCCGCGTGGCAGGTTATGCAGTCGTACCATTTCTTGCAACAGGGCGAGCGGAGGGAGACTTGTGCGTTTAGGATGTGTTTGCTGTGGCGGTAGGGTAGAGTTAGCTTGGTCCGGAAGTTTTTGGGAGGGGAGGGGAGGGGAGGGGAAGGGCGTACCACATTGTGTAGTGGAAATGGTGGTGGTAGCGCTGGTGGTTGATAGTCTGGTTAATGAGTGAGTTATAAGGGGTGTCATCCGTATGCCGTTACCGTACTCTTCTTGTGTGAGGTGTTGTTGAAATAAGCATCGACACGTGGCGTCGGTGGCGGGAGCATGGGGCGTCATTCGGGAACTAGATTGGTTGGTGGGATGTGTGGAGACTTTGCCGCTGTGGTGTGCCACGGCGGTGTGAACCCCCCCAAAATCCCAGGAGCCAACAATCAAAAGAATATCATATCATACACTAGAAACACCCAAGATCATCCCAGAAGCAAAAGCATTATCAAACGAAGCGCATCCCACCTCGAAGCAATCCTCATTTCCCCCCCCAAAAAGCCCTCGTCAAACACACAAGAGCACTCATCCAAGCACCGTAAGATTGATATAGAAATCCTGATCACTCCCGTAAAGCGAGCCACCAAACTTATATAGGTATGCGGGTACAAACATCCCCCCCCGCGCGCGCAGGACTCTATGATGCTCGCCACCATATGGTATCATACCACCAATACCATATTATATATTATCAAAAAAATATCATTAGACTACGGTACCCCACCGTCTCATCTATCCCTACATTAAAAAGTTATCAGATCAAATCAGCGTAATCCATACACCAGAAAAGTCCGGTTACAGTACATACAAGAAAGAAAAAAAGTTTGAATGAAAAGAAGACCCAACTCCCCACTTTCCCATCCCATCCCATCCCTTGCATCCGCCACTTTGATTTTTTTCTTCTTCTCCTTTTTCTTCCGTCACCCCTTCACCACTATACCACCTCTGCTCTACTTGACAAAAGGCCATCGTACGCAAACTCGACACGACACAACGACAGCAAAAAGCACATACCCATCTACATCCCCATGAATGAAATATATATATATATAGATATGAGAAAGTTAAAAAGAATGGATGGATGGGTGAGGAAAAGGAAAGGGGGAAGAAAAGCTCCAATTATTCTAACCGCTACCTCCCGCTCTTCTGAAGGCTTCTCACAGCCTCTACTACCCCCTCCTTCCCCCCCAATGACCGGCGTGCTTCTTCAAGTCCGTATCCGCAAACGTTGACCAGAAAATCTAGCTTGGCCTCCCACACTTCCCGTTCCCGGACTTCCGCGTATCGACGTTTGCACTGCTCCCACACGTGCCCGCGGAGCTCCTGGTCCACGGTTTTCAAACGGATGAGGAAGCTAGCGCTTACAGGTCTATGATCACTAGCACGGACTTCCCAGCGCCGGTAGGCCGTCTGCTTGATTCTTCCTAGGCCACGGTACAGGACTCGATCGCACCAAGCCGGTGATCGCTTCTTGTCCGAAGTATCGTAGATATCGGTACCTACATCGTATTTGTAAGTAGGCGAGAAAGTAATTTGGGATTCTTGGAACGCCCGGAGGCGGAAGCCCGGGTTTCGACGCCGCTCCATGAGAAGTTGGTCGCGTTCCAGGAGCGCGGGAAGATCGCCTTGTCTTTCTCGGGAGATTACCGAATCGCGGTGCATATCTATGCGGTAGTTGAGATCGCCGTTGAGGACGCAGATTTCATGGTCGAGGATCATGCTGCCATCGCCACCGCCGACGAACATGTCCGTACGAGCTTCGGCAGAGGGCTCTGCTGGCAGAGCGGTGGACTCGAGGATTGCTGCGATGTCGTTATTGCGGGAGATGGTATGGGACTGGCCCGCTGCAAGATGGCAGTTGATGAAGCAGAGAGAGCTATCGTCCAACAAGAATCGGACCACAAGCGCGCCCTTGTTTCCGTGCAGACCACCGAGCCCACGCTTGACAGTCGATGCACATACATTGCGAATGCTATGTCGTTCGGAGGTTTTTACAAAGATACAAGTAAAAAGGCCAACCAAATTCGCTACATGCAAGAGAGCATATGGTTGATCCCGAGGCATATGGGTCTCAATCGATTTGGTAAGCTGTTGTTGCCATAGTCGATACTGATGGGACATGTGCTCCTGCTGGTCTGCCGCCTTCTTTTTCTTACTCTTGCCGCCTTTCAATAGAGACTCTGTGTCAAATATTAGTGTCAAAATCAAACAAAAGGGTCAGCCGCGACCAGCTTACTCGCAGTAATCTTCTTGTCCTCCAAATCAACCAATTCCTGGAACCCAAACACGATGATATCCGGACTATCGACACTCCCCAAGACATTCTCCAAAAACACCTTATCGTCCTCTCGAGTTAGCAAGTCTTGTGGCTTGTTCGCTCCAGCGTTCCATGTGCAAATGAGAGCCTTGATCTCGCGGAAACTACAAAACTCGACGTCATGTTGTTGCATCTCTTTCTCGAGCCAATCATCCTCGAGCATCCCGTCCCAGGCCCGAATGACATTATCGACTCCCAAAGATAAAACCTCTAATCGCCCAACTTTCCATATACTCGTTCGATCGGCAACCACCTGGACTACTGGACCGTGCGAGGACTGCCAATCCTTGAGCACCGTCCAGGGCTTGGTTCGAACATCGTAGACGTATATCATACCAGTTTTGAAACCGGCCCACATGTAGTCCCCCACGCCACTCATGGAATTGATCTTGTATAGTGACACATTGACTACATCGAGAAACGTAAACTTTGATCGAGAGTATACTGATACCTTTCCATCAGAGTGCCCAAAGTAAACCTTGTCGGGTTCACTATTGACCACGGCCCCGCAGGTAATCTCGGCAGTTGGCTTGTTGGGCGTTAAGGGTCTCGATGTGACATTGAATTGCACACGGGAGTCTGAACTGGGCTGGTAGACATGGACATTCTTTCCAGCACCTATCCATAACATTCCATCAACGACGAGTGAATATGTGTGTTTATTCGGAATCCTAAATGTAGTTGGGGAGTTCTTAAGGTTTGGCACTCCATTGACGTCCGGTGTCCAAACTTGGAGCTTTCCGCCATCATCTAACGTCCACAGATCATAGCCACATCGGTGAATCTGAACAACTTCCTTCTTCATATGCGCGCTAGCCCTGGTGTTTGTGATCTTTTGCGAAGGAATATCAACCTCCATCAATTCCCCATGCGAAGTGCCAATCCAGAGTTGTTTCCCCTCGTCTTCAACGTTTACCGAGGGCTTGAACGCAATCGCCGTTACCTTTGTGCTCTCCCCATGATTAATTGACATTATGCACTGGCCTGTGTCCATATTCCAGACATTGGTAGCATTACTTGTTGTGCAAACGTACTTTCCGCAAACAGCAAAGTACCTGACATACGTTCTACAGTTTATATCTCGGATTCCGCTCTTGGAAACTGGGTGGCGCCGGTTAGCCTGGGATGAATCCGGGTATTCACTCAACGCCGATTGGTTCTCATCGGACAATGCCTCGTCAGAATCATCGGGACCATAGCCACCGTAGGAATCCTCCGCACCGTTACTGTATGTCGTAGAGTTGGTTGCAACTGAGGTGTTGGGGGATATGCGGCTGGAGGAGGCGACCGCCTCCTGGCCGCCTGAGGTTTGGGGTTTGACCGAAGAGAAACCTCGCCTAGGTGGTGGGAGAAAGGTGGGTGGCTCAGGCGCAGGCCCAAGCTCCGATGACACCCGAGGGGGAGAATAGCTTCGCCCCCTTAAGCTTGGGACTCTAGCTCTAATTCCGCCGATGATTCCACCTGGGGGCCTTGGAGGGAGGTCCGGCCTCAGCCCCGCGTCGTCCAGTGATGTCCGCTGGCCCCGAAATGAATCCTCAAACTTCATCCTTGGTCTAATTTCCTCTCTGGAAATCCTTGGCGGAGGTGGTATGGGCGCTTTTGCCGGGAGGATCCCTGTGTCCACCCCAGCCCCATTCCGCTCCCTAGCCCTTTCCATAGTGGTATAATGTAATGGCGGGGGGGGGGAGTAGGTAGGCATTCCTGTCGTTTGCCTAGACATAATCCTTGGCTGCTTTCCCGATTCGTTATCTGACCTGCTAGGGGAGTTATTAGCACTTGAAGGCGGTGTACTAAACGGCGAAACGTGCTCCTCCGAAGAAGCCGCAGGGGCTAAGCCCGAGTTTGAGCTTGCACGATCTGGCTTTACTGGTATCGACGGTTTGCTTGGTATCTTGGGTTTTGTCGGTCTCATCGGGACGGGAGGAGCGGTATGTTCGGGCTGAGTCCGCTTTTCCGGTTCACTGTAATCCTGGGGTGCCTGTAGTACCGGGCTAGGCGGAGGCCGGCGGAAAGCTCCATTGTTTGGCATACTCGCTCTCCGGTCTCCACTAATACTTCCAGATGGCGGGGCAATCGGTGGTGGAGGTGGTTGTTCATGCCGTACAGGACGTGCGGATACCGGAGGTGGGGGCGGTGGACGGTGCTCAGTATTTGGTGAGGGAGAACTTGACCGAGAGTGAGAGCAACCAGAAACCCTAAATGACCTAGAGTGAGGTGATGCCGCTGGTGTAGCCTTTGGAGAATCGGATGGCCGCTCGGGTGAGGGTCCTCTAGCATCTAAATTTAGCGAGTTAGGAGAGGTCTTTGGGGAGTCAAATCGAAAACTTGGAGGTGAATGTGTCGGCGTAGACTGAAATGTGCTATGGACTGAAAGCGGCCTCTGCCTTGAAGACTGGGCGAATCCTCGAGGAAGTGTGTATGCGTTCGAGGAACCATTGTTGTTTGTTGGCTTCGACACCCCACCTCTACCCACTGTCGCTGCACTCCCGGCAAAAAACTCTCGAGGGATATCCAGCGAGGCGCGAACGTGGAAGTTGCCACCTCCGTTAGAATTACGTTCCAGAAAGGGATCGGATCCAGTGTGGGCAGGCCGAAGAGGATTTTGCACTGTTTCAGATCCAGACGGCGAGGGTACAGGTGGTTTGGGTTTTGAAGTTGTCATTTGCTCGAACCTCGAACGCAACGAAGAAACAGAAGCCTACGTAGCAAGATCAGTTGACCGGTAAATAATAAAACAAAAACTATTAATAGAAGGAGCTTGCAAGGCAGCTCACGGGAGGGGTATCGTCCGCCATATTTTCAGCAATCGCGAAGGTATGAGTTCGAGCTATAGAGCAGAGACCCAAGGGTCCCGAGAGCCCAGCCAAAGGGAGAGCAGATGGGGGGGTAACCAAGAGCAAGCGAAGACCGACAATCCAAAGTTGAGCGGTTGGACAGCGTAAAACTAAATATTAATGATCTCCGTAGGTATATGGAATAGGAGTAATTTGGGATGAGCCCGAGAAGAGGAAGCTGTTGTTGTTGTGCGGATGGGTTGTTGAGGAGGAGAAGCAATCGGGCAAGGGACTCGCGTTGGCAGAGTGGCTAGAGTGAGAATGATGTACTGTACGAGTATGATACAGTACAGTACAATGTAATGACCAAAGGTTTTTTTTTCTTTTTTCATCCTCGTTTTCTTTTTCTGAGGTTATAATAACTTTCACTTTTTTACTATGAAGAGGCCGGAGGCTCTGGGAGTTTTCACACATGGGGCAAGCATCTGGAATTAGGAAGAAAGGAGACAAAAAAAAAAAAGGACACAAATCGTTCGGTGTACTCGTACAGTACTGTGCTCTTACCGCACCCCCAGAGATTTAGTTATGGTAATGAATATCGGCTCGAGGCAAAGATAAGAGGCAGGTACGGGCCTAATACCGGTACCGATACCGCAGCTTTGCAGCCGATCTCCACCTCAGCCAGTAGAATAATCAAGCGAGTTATGATATTAATATTAATATAATAAAACGCCGGTACGAATAGCGTACGGTACCGGCACTCGGCCAAAGACCAGCTCAGCAGACCGTTCCCCTTTATTCAATCACCCACCGTAGAATAAACACTGGCAGATCACTACGTACAGTACTGTATCATCTCATCTCTCAAACTAACTCATCACACCGATCAAACCTTCCTGTCCCTCCCGTCCATCTTCTGTCATGTCGCAAGGCAAAGCCCAAAGTAACTTGTCATCGAAATGGGAATAAACCACAATATCGAGAGCTCCCCCATCTGGAATATCCACTCCCGTTTGCGGACCCTACCGTAACTCTCACAATACTGGTACTATAGTGGGAAAGAACCGCCACACAAGGTTGCCGTACCGGCACGTAAACGAAAGTCAGACTAACCTCATCGTAGATGGCCACGCCTCCGCAACCTTTAATAAGAATTACTCGCACAAGATTACCCACTCGACGGCTAAAAGTAATAGATAGTCTAGAGGGAAGAGAGATGCATCGATGCTATGTTACTCGTGCCTCCTCGCCAAGAGTTGGCACCCGTTTCGGCATAGCAAGCATGAGCCCAAATGTAGTATGGTATGACTACTTGGTGGCAATATGTTCCGTGATCCGCTGCGGGGTGACCTCTCGCGATGGTGAAGCAGTACTATGTCAAATATGCATACCAAAGTTCATTCAATCCTTACAATCCGTTCAAGTCATCAGTTAACAGGGAGGTACTGCTCACAGTCCTTTGGAGAATTGTGATATTAATAACAAATGACAGGATGACAGATGGTAGAAGTCTGTCGGAGTCTACAAGAGGAGCAATTATTGCTCTACATATTTCTGCCAATATGTTGTTTGACCGAATTGCATCAAGCCTGCATCTTCACTGAGAAACTGTTCATAAAACCTACAGAAGAACAGAGGTAAGATCAACCCCATTGCAAGGTATTCAGTCCCGGGCTGAAAAAGGATTTTGAAAATGAAGCTTTAGGTTAGTCCACCAAATATGTATGCAAAAAAGACATTACACACCAAAGTCTTTCAACCCGGTACTGAATGCCTCTATTACAAGTCAGAAAGATAAAGTTAACAAGAGTTATAGGACTGTGCATAAAGTCCTGCGTTTCAGCATATGCTAAAAGCAGTCGATCTTGGTGATGAAAAAAGACAAGAGCCGGCTATTCCACAATGATATCCTCCCGGAAGTGAAGTCTCAAAAAGGCTCAAAGTGTTAGCCACCTAGGATAAAGAACAGCGGCTTCGAACCTTCCACAAATTGCCCATGAGGTGGGAGTTAAGCTAGTAGATTCGGCTGTATACAAACTCATGCATGAGCACCACAATCTCTATCGGTATAAGCCATGACATAAACCTTCTCTTAATACCTCCGGTAAACTGAAGCGCTTACAGCTTGTCGACTGGGCATTGGTCCAACCAATAGAGTCATTTGTTTACTGTTATGAACGTGGCTTGGCACGGAAAAGGTTTTCACATGACTCATGATTATGAGTCATAGGTATGTTATGGTTTCACGCATATGACTTATTTAGGTCATATGACTTATGGTGTTATGATTTGTTATGTTTCGCACATGACTCGATTATGAGTCATGGGATGTGCACCTGGTGAGTATACCTTGCGAGTATGCCTTGTGGGTATGCCTTGCGCATATGATTTATGTTTCGCACATGACCTCATTAGGAGGTCATGGGTTTCACGCATGTGACTCAGGTGAGTCATATGACTTGTTTATTGTGTTATGATTAGTTTATGAGTTTTCGCACATGACCTTACTATGAGGTCATAGGTTTTGAGCATGTGACCACTTTGGTCACATGATTAGTTTGTTATGATTTGGGTTTCGCATATGTGACCACTTTGGATCACATGACTATGGGTGGGAAGAATACTATATAAGAAGGCCGATGCGGCCGAGGAGGATAGATTCTTCACACTTTATTCTAAGTACTTTTCCTACGTCTTGCACTGCATGTCGGACGTGAGCGCACCAATACTTTATCTTATTTCACTCGCGATAAATACTTCATCTACTGTTACTTGTTTGTGTTTTTCGTTTTGAGCAGTCGGTTAGAAGTAGTTGTTCTCGCGTAGAAGATACTTCAGTGTAAGATATCTGTAGCCTGGTCCTGGTAATCACTGAGTATAGTTTGGGCGAGGATGGCATCTTCGACAGCCTCCTCTTCCATGGATTCTCCCCCTCTTTCGAGGATGTCGTCCCCTGTTCGGTTCAACTCCAACCCTTCCTCCTCACTTGAGACAGCCCATACGGCCTTGTCTCTTACACCTGCTACTGAGGCTGGCCGTGGCCTTATTCCCACAACTATATAGTCATATGTTGCACCCAAAGGAAACTTTAATTTCCTACAGTTTCGCCACTGTCACGGGTGTTGAAATGTGGTGAACCCTCAGTTTGATGACTTGGTTCGGCAAAGGGTTGAGGATACGACTATTGTTACAATGAAAGAAGTAGAGGTTTTGGTGAAGGATTTCCTAATTGGGAGAGGCTGTTCAGCCACGTGTGGCTTGAACAAGGATACCACTACAGGACTCTTCATTTGGTTCAACTCTGATCATGGCTTGGAATACTCTCCAGCCCTGGCACCCTTTCCTCCTAAAGACTCTCCGGCCATTGTCCCTGAATCCTCTATCCTACATACCGAAAATGGCTCGGCTGCGGCTAAGGTTGAGGCGAGTTCGTGGTCTGCTAACCCTCTCCTCGCTAGGGCCGTCCAAAGTAAGATGCCCAATTTCCTCCGCCGGGCTCCTGTACGCAAGGTTGGCTCATCCACTCCTTCCTTTCTGGACGGGATGTCATCTGGAGAAAGGGCTCTTTATGAGACTCTGAAGTTCAGATTAGATGACCCTGAGGATGAGGATTACAAGCCTCCTACCGCTGGGACATGGCACCATGTGAGGTCGGCATCTCCCCCTAAGTGGTCCTCTACTCTGGTTCTGAGGCCACAGTTTTTGAGGATAATCAATATCGATAAAGGCTGGAAAAAGCAGATTGTTTCCACCCTCCCTGGCCTGCCTCTGGATGTACATCATGGGCGCCTGGCCGTTCCCCCACTTATGAGTCTTCCATCAACCATTGAGGCTACACCACCACCCCCATCTCTATTGGTAACTGAAGACGTCTTGCCTACCTTGGAGGTGTTGGCTCGAGATACTCCCATGGATTTGGAAAAAGGACGTAACTCCAAAGCAACTGGACTGGGCAACAGCATCCATGCCCCCTCTCCAGCAATGGCATCATTACCACCAGACCTTAATAGACAGTAGACCTCACTGGAAGTACAGCTATTTAGCTCTCAGGAAGCCTCGCACGACGCCTAAACACTATTGGAGGTTCAACTTCCTGACACCCAACCTAAGGAAGCCGATGCCGCCTTGGCCTGGGCAGATTCAATTATGGCAGGAGTATGCGAGATGCTTAATGCAGGTAGGACTCCCACTGCGGGGCCCCGCTCGGGTAGTATAATTAGATCCATGTTGGAAGGACTGGAGGATATCTGCTCTGGCAATACTCAGCCACTTCTCTCCTCGGAATCCGGGTCAATTGAGGATGACACAGTATACGATGTCCGGACCTGAATGGACAATGGCGCTGCGTTTAGTAATAAAGGACCAGAGGGCAGAGTGAATTACTGGAGCTGGGTACACCTGGTAGAATGGGCGGCGAAGGCACTGATAGACATTGTTGGCAAGCAAGGGGAAGAGATAGAGACCCTATAAGGTAAGTTGTCCCTCCACCACCGATCCTCTTCAATGATGTCCAGCAATACACCATCTAGGTTGTTGGGAACTACACTACCGCCTGCCTCTGTTAAGGGAAAGGAAACTGCTATGGCGGCTCCTACAGCTAAAGCCTCCTTCAGGGAGGTAGTGAAACGGATGGCATACGTGTCCAAGCCTCCCACCACTCAAAAAGAGTAGAGACCCTCTGTCCGCTCCACATCAGCAGCCTCCTCCCACCAGTCTAGCAGTGGGAGCTCCTCCAGTAAAGGAGGGCTAACTTTAGGTGTGGCTCGTAGAGGAGAAGGCAAATAGGTACACTGGGAAAAAGAGGATGGGGAGGAAGAAAAAGATAAAGGGTAGGAAATGTGGTAGGCACCTGAGCGGTGCTGCCAGAAGGAGAAGAAAGGCTGTCAGC